ATCCCTGTCTTGTTCCAGATTTTAGAGGGAATGCCTTCAGTTTTTCTCCGTTTAGGATGATGCTAGCCTGAGGTTTAGCATATATAGCTTTTACAATGTTAAGGTAAGTTCCTGTTATCCCTAGTTTTTCTAGTGTTTTGAACATAAAGGGATGCTGTACTTTGTCAAATGCTTTTTCTGCATCTATCGAGATGATCATATGGTTCTTGACTTTAAGCCTACTGATGTGGTGAATAGCATTTATTGATTTCCATATATTGAACCAGTCTTGCATCCCATGCTTTCAATCTCATTTTTCTTTTTTGAAGTACAATATATACCAATGCAGAGGACTTTATTTTCCCATCTTCCAGTAATGGTTCCTATTTAAAACATAGCACCTATTTCCTTTCCTACTTAATCCACAAGTACTTTAATGAATTAGGCTGCACTTGCTATTATGTAATAGTCAAGGGCAACTTAATGGCTTTTTAAATCCTCAAGATACCTGTCACACAACATGCTCGGATTATCTCAGTGTTTTTGTTTTTTCTCTAACTTTCCTATATACCTGTATTTCCTTATCTAACTTTTTCCATGGAACTCAGTTTTACCATTAATTTTATTTTTGCCCATGTTTTTGAGAATACCAGCTACCAGTCTCAGTGATTTAGTTATAATACAATGCAGCCCAGGAAACCAGGGTTCCCACGCCCAAAGCTTCAGGAAGTGGGATTGAAGTGGATTCTAATGGAAGATAACAATAAAGAAAAGGCAATTCTTGTTTCCAGACTCCAAGGGTAGACTCTCTTTAAACAACATTATGCATGCTTTTAAAATGATTCCACTGGCTGCCTAGCATAACACAGCATTTCTTAAATTGCTGTTCAGTATTATAATTGGGGGAAATAAAAAGAAAGGGGCTAAGTTTTCCCTTGGTGTCTTTAGGTTTTGTATTTTCATTTTAATCATAATCTTTTTTTTTTAAATCACATCTTCTGATCATCTAGCTGACAGTAGAACCAAGTTTGTGTCTACCAATGAGAAATTAACACCAATCTGCTTATTATACACTGCATTTATATAAAGTGAAAACAAAATTATGTCAAAGAATACTACGTGAATGAAGGGTTCACAATAATTTTAACAGACAGAAAAGAGAGGAGAATTAAGTTATTATTCTACACATTGAACAGGAATGGAAATCTAAGTAAAAGGGCTTTCTAATTCAAGGTTGAGAAACATTAGGGATGTTATAGAAATAGCTAGGAATCTGGGAAAGCAGAGGAAAGTTAAAAACATAAAAATTTACCATAGCTCTTCTGTTGGCTATATTTTAATTATAATAAATCATTGCTTTTGTACCACTCTGGCTAATTGTTCTACTGGAGAGAAATAATCCAGGGTAAAAATGTAGAAAATGACACACACTAATGTTGGTGGCAGTGTTAATTAAAAAATAAATAAGGACAGGGATTGTTAAATAAGATTCTATGACCTCAATTTCAGCACTACATCTGTTGGTTATACACTGAGGATAACATGTGATAAATACTTAGATTACACTGAAAAAAAAAACTTTCTCTCTTTCTTCTTCATAAAAATAATGATTATTACAGAAAACAGAAATATGGATTGGTAGAACAAAGAAGGTAAAATCACTCATATTTTTCTAACCCAAATCTGTTAGCCTTTTGGAAGATTTTCCTGTATTCATTCAATATACAGAATTCCCTGTGTTGTTTTTCCTTTAAACTGGCTGAAATTACAGTATACTACAAACCACTTAACACTTTAACTTGTAATAAGCTAATGGACCCAAACTGCAATTTAGCCCCTAAATCCAAATAGGCTCCCTGGCAATCTCTGGGTTTAGAGCCAGGTGAGAAACTCCAGATATCTTGTGACTCAGATCTCAATTAAACCTTAAATCAAAGATCAAAAGAAACCTTATCAAAGATTATTTGGTGCACATCATGATTTTTTTTTTTAAAGGAAGGGAGTATACACCTTGGTCTGTTGGCCAACAAAAGCTACAACCAATAAATCTCTGGCACTAAAATATTACTGAGGTCTTAAAGTAAATAGAATTACAATACCATTGAGAAGAACAGGAAGAAAGGGGAAGACATGCTTTGATTCTAGGTAGTGTAAATTATTTAATCAACAGCTCTAGATTTCTTCAATTCTTGTTTGTAAAAGATCTATTACCAACTAAATGAACTTTCAACGTACAAAACAAATAGCTCTGTGGATATTTTTAAATATAGAAAATGTCTGCTTGAAATAAATAATAGAGAGTACACTGTATCTAATTCACAAAAAAACCATACAGTGACATATAATAGTACTTGGCACATTACTATAAGTTTAAAGATCTAGCATTAAACACACACACACACACACACACACACACACACACACAGTTTAATCCTGAATGTGTTACAGGTCGCCTATGTAACTTTGGATAACTTGCTTGGTTATCTTTGGTCAGTTTCGGAATCTGTAAAATAAAGAAGCTAGAGTTCACTCTGTTTCTATTGTTTTGTTTGCACACAATCTCACAAATCAAATTGAGATGATTATAATAAAATCTTTCTTAAAATCATTTAAATATCAAAGTTTTCTAGTAAATTAATAATTGTGCTTTTAGAACTCATTCCATTTAATGTTAAGATTAGGTTTTTCCAATGGCTTTTGACATCCTGTAAATACAGCAATTGCTTGTAATGTATACTCACAGCAAGATTACGTCTGCTTTTTAATCTTGCTCCCAAAATACCAATAGAAAAGTAAACAAGGAAAGAAAATCACACAACAACATCTATAATTAGGTCTATGTTTTAATAATTTAAACAAAGAATATAGAAAATATATGAAATGTATGTTATCATTTGTTATATAATATTGAAGTATGCACTCTATGTAAATGAAGAGATTAACTTCTGAATTTCAGGTTGTCAAATTTTATATGTAATATCCTACTCCAATATTTTAATGATATAGATACATGGTCCTTACCTTGCAAATGAAAGCCCAGGCTGGAAACTGTCTACAGGAAATCAATGGGAACAAAACTGTACACAGTCAATGAAACACTGAAGTATAATTACTATCTTTACATGCAGAACTGCTATGTGCTTGTATTCAGGCAGCTATCTAGTCTCAAAATAATTCAGTTTATAAACAACAAGAAATCCAAATCAACTATTGATTGATGTGATTTCTTTAAAAACTAATTTTGACTCACCTTTGTCCATGGATGTGCCTTAATTTGAGGGAATTTGAATTCTGTATAATTTGGGTTCATTTCTCTAATTTGCTCCCTTGTTGGTGTTCCTAGGACCTAGATAAAGGAAGAAAATTATTGCCATATTTCCCCACATACTTATAGTCATTGTGGTTTAAGGCATTGGTTTCATGACAAAAGAATTTCAAAGTTAAATTTAAAAAGTAACTAAGAGAATGGAGCAGAATTTTGGGAAAACATTTCAATTAGTAATCGAATTAGTAATTGAACAGCTCTAAATTACTATCAAATTCTATGTTAAACTATCTTAGACAGATTTCTGAGGATAATAAAAATGTAAACCTGGTTCATTAAAAAAAATTACTAAAAAATAGTCAAGTAACCCTCTGGTTTCCTTTCCTGTCAGATCTGATCACTGGTCTTAGCATCTGTGAAAGGAAAAAACCTAAATTCAAGCTGGTCTTAGAGTGTTGTAGTTTGGCATATAGTATGTGGGATAGTTTCAAACAGGTTTAAAAAAAAATCCAGTAGGTCCTAGGTTTTATCCTTAGCACTGCAAAAACAAAACAAAACAAAATAAAACAAAACAAACAACAACAACAACAAAACAGTAAATAAATTAGACAAAATTTTAAAAATCAAGTAAGAATCAGGCATCATCATCTTTGTTCTATTTTAAAAAAATAATCTGTCTGCAATTATCACATCTGGAATGAAAGTATCTTTTACTCACTTTGTAAGGTATAGCCAAAGATCATATTACTAATATATTAGTCATCACTAATTTCATTCCATCACTGAATATTTATGAGTGTCCCCTGAGTATAAGGAACTATAGTATGATCTGTGAAGGACACAAAGAACAACAGATTTCCTACAATGAACTCACATATTTGTAAATTTTCAAAAAGGAATAAGGAATAAGGCAAAAATATATTAAGTACTTAGAGCTATACTAGGCACTAAACAAAGTATACAGACCTCAGAAGAAAGGTATCAGAAGAAAATATTAAATGCTAAAAATGGGTACTCTGAAGAGAGATACCACATATTATTCATCTTTATAATCCCAGAATGCAGAAAAAACCCAAAGTTTGTTGAAATAAAATATTTTATCATTTACAATTCAAGGACAATTACATAGAAGGAGAATAATGCAATGATAAGTAATGTGTGGTAACAACCAGAGAATAATCAGGGATAGTTCTATAATCATCTAAGATAAAGCAAAATTTTTCATATTTTTGGTTGACTCTAATTCTCTAGACTTCATTAAAACTTTCAGAACTTCATTAAAAATTTGAAAACAGTTCATCATGGATTGGGAGAAAACATTTGCAAAACATATTCTGCAAAGTGTTTGAAATACATAAAGAATTCTTATAGTTTAGAAAATACTAAAGACACATCTGTATAATAAAACAAGTTTTATTAAGGCATTGATTGTCAAGATATGGAATCAACCTAGATTTTGGTATATGTACATGATGGAATATTATTCAGTTATAAAAAATGAATTTTGTCATTTATAGCAACGTGGATGGAACTGAAGGACAGTAAAATACTCAGGCATATAAAGACAAATATTGCATGTTCTCACATGTGGAAGCAAAAAAAAGTTGATATCAAAGAAGTAGAAATAAGACACTGATTATCAGAACTTGGGAAGGGTATAGGAGAGGGAGAAATGGGAAGATGGTTAGTGGGTATAAGGGTGCAGTTGGTTAGATGGAGTAACTTCTAATGTTCTATAGCACAATAGGATTAAATATGGCTAACAACAATTAAATATTTCAAAATAGCCAGTAGAGAAGAGTATGGATATTCCCGATACAAAGAAGTCATACATACCTGAAATAATAGATATGCCAATTACCCTAATAAGATGATTACACATTGTATATACATGTGTTGAAAATGCAACACTGTACCCCATAAATATGTATAATTAATATGTGTAAACCAAAAGTGAAGAAAAAACATTTCTTAAAAAATATTTTTTAGTTGTTAATGTATCTTTATTATTTATTTATTTATATGTGGTGTTGAGGATCAAACCCAGTGCCTCACACATGCTAGGCAAGTGCTCTACCACTTAGCCACAACCCCAACCATAAGAAAAAACATTTTTAAAAAGACCTTTAAGACAGCAGACAATATAACTTGGAATAAAATGAGTAAGAAATAAACACAAAGCACTAAGAAGACAACTCAATAAAAATAGTCAAAAGACATCTCATCAAAGACAACAGAGATAGCAAATAGGCACATGAAAAAATGTTCACCATCATTAATTGTTAGGAAAACACTAATTAAAATCACAATATACCAATATGTACCTGACAAAAAGGCTAAAGTTTGACTGTACATATCATGTCTTGGCAAGGATGCAGAACAACTAAAGCTTTTAGAACTGCTGATGAAAGTGTACAATGGTGTAGTACCTTTGAAAAAGTTTCTTAAAATGTTAAATATATACATTTAATAAGATTCATCATTCCCTTTCCTAGGTATTACCCAAGACAAATGAAAGCAAATATTTATACAAAACTTGTACACAAATGTACACAGCACCTTTTATGTAACTGCTAAAAAGTGGAAACAACCCAAACATCTATCAACAGGTAAATGAACAAATGGTGGATAATCATATGAAGAAATACTACTTGGTGATAAAAACAAACAAAAAACTAAAAAACATGAATAAATTAAAAAAATATATGCTGAGTGAAAGAAGCTAGACCAAAAAGTACACCTAATTTATAAGACCATACATACGGAATTCTAGAAATATTTTTAGGTATAGTGACAGAAATAAGATTCATTCTGTCTACAAGTGGCTGAAAAAAAGAATTACAGATACAGAAACTACTGAAGGTATATGCTTATGTTCATTATCTTAACTTTATAAATATATCCAGATATCAAAAGTTATCAAATTGTATACTTTAAATACATGCAGTTTACTACATGCCAATTATACCTGCAATGAGAACTTTCAGAAATTATATTAGAATACATAAAGTTTGGGTTAAAATAGATGGAAGGGATATTCTGATCTGTATTATTCACTGGTATAAAAAATAATCTAGTTAACTATAAACTGACCTTTAACCATTTAAAATTTGAGTAATCTTTTGATATCCTTGGAAAGAAAATTTTAAAATGTAAAAATAACCTACATTACAACACATCTTCTAAATCCTATTTCTAACACTACTCTGGGGGAGAGTATAGTCTTGGGGGGTACTAGTAATACATCTCCAACTATATACCCTCCTCTCATCCCGCTTGGAGTACATTTTTAGTTTAACAGAAAGGAACACGCTATCTGTATCAGGAAAGGAAATCTCTGGTCTCAGTAGCTATAGATAATAGACATTTATAAGCCAGGCATTGTTCATGCATAAAAGAAGAAGGCTAAAAAGCATTTGTTTTTATTTTCAAATACAAGCAAGCACTTATATATTATACTATACTATACTTCAGATGAAGGGGAGGGTGTGTCTGTGTACAAGTACTGGGAGACAGGGAAAAGAGTAAAGAAGAATGAGGGAGTACTAGTGAGCCTATCAATAATTTTGTTCCTCCACATGCAACTCCAGTTGAAAAACAACAGGAATGAAATGAATAAATGAGTATTTATAAGTGCATAGATTCATTGAACCTATAAACTGTTCATTTTAAGTTATATAGCCTAACCAAGAGAAATTGTTATACATTTAAAACCACATGGCTCAAAGTAATAAACACTGATGACAAAAAGCAAAAAATCCATCAACAGAATTAATGTAAGTTGTTGTATAGCTAATGGCATATAAACTAGCAATGTAAATAAATAAACTGGAGCTATCCATCTTATGGATGATTTCATGAACACAGGGATGAATTTTTACTCAGCAATGAATACCTATAGTATGACTGCCTTTATTAAAGTTCAAAACCAGCTGAGTGTAGGTTTTATATTTTTAAGTAAGAACACATGGAATTTTACTTTCCGTGCCTGGCTTATTTTACTTAACACAATGTCCTCCTCTTTCTCTCTCTCTCTCTTTCTTTCTTAATGGCCAGGGAGTATCCCATTGTGTACATATTTCATATTTAATTTGTGCATTCACTTGCTCATGGATAACTCAGCTGACTCTGTGTCTTGGCTATTATCAGTAGGGCTGCAATAAACATGAGATGAGAGCCCAGTTATCTCTTTGATATACTATTCCATTTCCTTTGGGAAATGGACAACAGTGGAATAACTGGATCATATGGCAGTTCTATTTTTAGTTTTTTGAGAAATCATACTGTTTTCCCATAACAGACATACTAAATTACATTCTCACTAACAATGTGTTGTTCTTTCTTTGCATCCTTTGCCAGCAGGTTCTTTTTTTCTTTTGTCTTTTTAAATATAGCCATTCTAACTGGGGTAATATGGTATCTCATTTTGGTTTTGATCATCATTTCCCTGATGATTAGTGATGTTGATCATATGCTCATAAAAATGCTAGCGATTTGCATATCCTCTTTTGAAAACTGTATATTCAGCTCATTTGCCAATTTTAAAAATCAGGTTTTTTTTGCTGCTTTTTGTTTCCTATGTATTCTGGATATTAATATCTTGTTTGATAAACAGTCTGCAAATATTCTCTTCCATTCTGCAATCTGTCTTCATTCTATTGTTTGCTGTGCAGAAGCTTCTTAGTTTGATAAAAACTGTTTTTGCTTCTGTTGCCTGAACTTATGGGGATATACTCCCCAAAATTGTTTCCTATATGGATGTCTTGAAGTTATGTTTCTTATGTTTTCTTCTAGTAGTTTCATATCTTACACTTAGGTCTTTGATTCATATTGAATTGGCTTTTTTCTTTTTACATGGCAAGAGACAGGGATATAGTTCCATTCTTCTGTATATAGGTATCTACTTTTCTCATCATCATTTATTACAGAAATTATCCTTTGGTGACTGTCAAATAATTTGGTTGTGAATATGTGGATTTATTTCTGGATTCTCTCTTCTGTTCCAATGGTCATATCCCTTGGTGGCTGTTCATCCCCTTATAATAAATCAATCATTTCAGCTATACCTGGTCCCATCACAT